AGTGACTTAGTTGAAAACAAATTGAACCAAATCGAACAGAATTTTTTCGGTTCGAGTCGTGTGGTCATTTAAATCGAATCAACTTGAATCGGTTCGGTTCGATTTGTTTCTTTGAATCCTAACCATGACCACGACCCTCCCCTCTCTAACCATCTCCACCAGCGACAACAGTGATCATCTCCATCGGCAGCAGCGACCATCTCCTGCATGTAGGAGATGTCTAGAGAGAAGTCATCCTTCTACCAATTTTCCCTTTTCTTTTTTGAACCTAGTTTCTTTTATTTCGCTTTCCTTGCCTAGTTGGGTAGATTTCAGTCTACTTGTTTTTTCTAATTATTTTTAGGCTTATGATACAATTCTAATTTAATTCAGCATCTCAATTGGGAATTTTTATACCCTTGAGCTTTTTCTTTCCTTGTTCTTGAGAGTTGAACTCGAAAATGATAATCCTAACCTTGTTGCTAGTAGTAAAGTAGGATTATTTGGTAAAAGAAAACTCTCTAAAGGTACAGTTCTACGAGAATATTGAGAATATTTTGTTAGAGTAGAGGATGTGATCTTGAATATTCTAGAGTTGCTTGTAAACCTTGTAGGGCTACATATGCATATGATTCTAAAAGAAATAGGACAACAAATTTGAAAAAAGTACATAGAGAAATGTAAGWAGAATACATAGGATTATCTTGAAAGAGGAGAGGATTCTGAAACTAATTTGATAGCTATATTTGGTTATTTTAGAGAATTGTAGAATGATGCTTACTTGTATCGACATATCGGATAAATTACCGTTTAAGTTTGCTGAAAGTGAAGGATTTCATAAATTTTGCAAGGCATTGAATCCCAAGTTTGTAATTCCATCACRAATCACTGTTGCAAAGGATTGTTTTCAATTGTACATGATTGAGRAAAAAAAGTTGAAAAATGCTTTAAATAGAAGTGGTCAACGAGTTTGTTTAACAACTAATACTTAAACTTCAATTCAAAATATTAATTATATGATTATAACGACTTATTTCATTGATGGTGATTGGAACTTACACAAAAGAATTTTAAACTTTTGTCAAATAACTAATCAGAAAGGAGTTACAATAGAAAGAACAATTAAAAAATACTTGCAAAGTTAGAACATTGATAAAATTTTTACGATAACCATTGATAATGCTATCTCAAATGATGAAGCAATGACATATTTGATTAGAAAGCTAAATGAAAGAAACGTGTTGGTGTAAGATGGTRAATTTCTCTATGTTAGATGTTGTACTCATATCATGAATTTGGTTGGTTGTGATGCTTTAAAGGATTTGAATGTATCTATCATTTGTATTAGAAATGTTGGGAAGTATGTTAGATCATCTTTTTCAAGATTGCAAATATTAAAGATTTTGCTAGTGAATATGTCATTTTAACAAAGAGTTGTCTAACTATGGATGTCCCAACACGAAGGAAATTCAACCTTCATTATGTCGGATGGAGCAATTAAGTTCCATGAGAATTTGGATAATGCTAAAGTACATATAGGGTTCTTGAAATTTTTTTCMTATGTTACTCTAAAATTTTCTACATTCATATCTTTGACTTCGAACATATTTTTCCATGAAATGTGTTTGGTTCAGAAAACGATTCATGAATATTCTTTGTATAAAAACTTCTTGTTGAGTAAAATGACGTCAAACATGCTAGCAAAATTTAAGAAGCATCGGGATATAACAAGTGAGAAGATCAATTTGTTGTTATATGTTGTTTTTGACCTTATATGTAAGTTAAATTATGTGAGTTATTGTTTTCATGAATCTTTGGAAGAAAAAAGTGCAAATTTGTGGACAAATAAGGTTGAAGCAGCATTACATTGTCGATTGCGTAGTGACTATTATACAAGARTATCAGTGCCAAAAGAACTTCACCCGCAAACACAATTGTTTATACCCACAGAAGTATCAAGTTGTCAAAGTGAATATCATCGTAACTTTGCACTTTAAGGCCATCRTTAACTTTTTTTGGTTGCAAACAAGTTTGAGGCCATCATAACTTCATAAGTTTTTTTTTTTCTTGGAATGAAAAAGCTTGAATGAAAAAAAGTATGATGTTGATTCGAATTGGTCCACTTCGGTTTGATTTGGTTTTCGTCCCTTTTAAACTAACCAATTTCGATTTTTCTTCCCTTCCCTAAAATTGAACCAAACTGAAAATTTCACCTAATAATAGTTTATCTTTAGTTGTCGACGATAAAAATAAATATATTTTAGTGAAAGGAATTCGGATAAATGACTTTTAGTTAAAAATTTGTACTCTTATTTGACTATGTTATATGAAGTGTTTCATATTGTTCTTATCGAAAAATTCGATAATCACAATAAGTCTTTGAGAACACTACAAGACAAGGTCTTGCAAAAAGGAGTTAGAACTTTGAAGATTTTGTTAGTGCAGGATCGAGTGAAAAAGTCTTATACTTAATGATTGAGCCAACACTTCGTACTTCCGATTTTTATRGATTTGTCAAAGTTTGATTTATTCAATTAGATTGGCATTTSATCACTGCACTTGTGGAGCAGTAGAGGCTGGAGACTCACATGCACGATAACTCTCCAAGATATAGTGGTGCAACTCGTGTTACCGGTAGATGGTGAGCCAGTAACAGGATCGGTACATTACGATTGAAAAACCACCYGTCAATTATTACTTAGTGTGACTCCATRCGACTCCTATATTAAAGGATCTAGACTTAGCTTACCATGGTTGGYTTCATAGTTCCGCAACTTAGATGACAATTCTGACGAGGACACCATTGCTACATATGCTCGTGCTTACATTTTGCAACTTATCGGTTGTAGTCTATTTGTCGATAAGTCTAATAACTTGGTCCACTTGATGTTCCTTCTATCGTTGGCTGATTTTGAGATTGCTGGACGATTCAGTTGGGGAAGAGCATGGTTGTATCGACATTTATGCAAGGCATGTCGATCTGATTCACGAGACATTGCTTGTCCGATCTTACTCCTTCAAGTATGGGCTTGGGATCGATTCCCAAGCATGACTCGAGCTCGTCGCCACATCGCGGATCATGAGATAGTGRGACAACCATTAGCTGCACGGTATGCCTATCTAACTATTTCATTGTGCCATAAAGTTAATTCTTTTAATATATACACAACTTTACAAACTTAGAGTATTATTGTAGGTGGAGAGATCAATTTTGTGTTACAGAATTATCGACAYATGTATTGGTTCAGTACAGATACATGTTGGATCTTCTGACACCGGGATCGGTATGTGTTTAAATATTTAAAATTATAAATATAGCTTGATTGACTTTTGACATGATATTTTTGCCTAAAGATTTTAGATGATTTGGGAACCATATAATAAAGGATTTGCATCCCTACCAGATTACTATATGGTGCACAGTAAGTCCACTTATTTGTTTTTATTTTGTTGAGTGACATCATCCAAATAGAGTTCCTAGGCAGTTCGAGATGAAACAATCAATTCTAGATGTTCTTAGTTGGGATCCAAAGATACATGACATAGACCTTCGACGTCGGGGATGACAGGACCATACAACACCTTTTGTGGCTAGGTGGTGGATTCGTAGAGATTATATTGCTATTAGTCCTCCGGTGGACGATGATGGTGATTGCGATCTCGGATACATGAGTTGGTATTTGTCAATTACTAGACATTATATTACTCAAGAATGAGTTTGGTGCTACGGTATGTTTTTCAATTTGGCTTTACAAACTATTTGAATTTAAATATATATTTATTTTAATTCATTTTCTATGCAGACTACATGTTTTGAACAAATTAGTATCATCTCATCGTCAGAAGATATTAATAGCTTTTGTACCACTGGTGAGAGATATCTTCAAAGGCTTCATCAGTAGTGGTCTAGAGTACCTACACCTACTCACTACCCCTGGCGTARAGGACATCGTCAAATAGAGAAGGATGCTCCAAACGAGCCTGCCATTCCTGAACCTGAAGTTATGTATCATAATGTCGATGATGCTCCACCTTTCACACAGACACAGGATGAGGCCAGCCCATCCACGCCTATGGTTATGATACTGACTCTTGGTTTGAGCTAGGTTCACACACCAGTACAGTATGGTTATGGCGGTCATGGACGTGGGTGTGGAGAGTATGGACAATACATCAACCCTAATGAGGATCAACAGACACCGAGAGCTCGTCGTCGACAGTCACATCGTCATCGACGACCTCTCCAATGTGAGACATATTAGATAGATTGATAGTCTATAACGCTTAATTTTGGTTATTCAGCTTTACCTTTTAGATATTAATTAATATTTTATTCATATAGTATTGATAAATTAACTATAATTCTCTAATTTTATTTAAATATATTTAAATCAAATTATAAAATAAATATAGCAAATAACTTAAAGAAGTAAAAAAAAACAATAATATTGGTTGGAGACGACCAAGCTATGTAATTTAAAAAAAGAAACAGCGTGGCGGTCCATGCTGTTTAATAACGAACTTGGTCGTCTCTTGACGACCAGTCTTTGCCACAGAGACGATCTGTCATTTTCAAAACATTATTTTTGAAAATAGTTTGAGAAATTGACATATATTTTCGTAATAACTTTGTCATTGTTAAAAAAAATCCAAATTTTAAGAGCCAAACTTATAATTAAAGTAAAAAAAATTACAAGATTGTATAAGATGTGCGAAAGAGACATTTCTCACTGTCGCACGTGGGAATATATACAGAAGCTTGTCATCTTCTTCTCCACTGATTCAGTATTCATAATATTCTAAATAAATAATAATAATAATAATATTCCAAATCTTGTCCACTAATTCAATATTCCAGGATTTGGATTCCTCACGTCAAACTTTTTCATGAATATTGTCATATATATCCCTTTACCATCATATTTACAAAATTATTATTGATCACCAAAATGTTACAAAATTCAATCTCTCTCTTTTTTTTTTTTTGTCATTTCTAAAAGTATTAACCATTCAAATAAAGGATGAGTTTGATGTTTTTTCTTTTATATTTTAATTTTGATTCCTGGTCAAAAAGATAAAATAAACTGAGTTTGAACCTAGGTGAGAGTTTTTAATACATTAACATTATTATTATTATTATTTTTTCTCTCTCAGTTGTCAAACATTTAATGACGATGAGTATAAGTTAGGTYCGGTTAGAGATCTAAGTATTTTCCCAATTTAACATAAACATAGCATGTAGCAACTTGTGCATAGGGTTGGCAACGAGGTGGGGGTATCTCTATTCCCGTCCCTGTCCCCGAAAATTTGGGGGCGGGGACGAGGTGGGGAATCTCCGATCGGGGATGGGGTCTTTGTGGGGAACCCGTGTCCGACCTACAAGTTTTTTTTTTCAAATTTTACACCAAGAAGTTGCCGGAACTAAGTCGCCGCCGCTGGAACTAGGTAACCGCCAGTAGTGTGATTGTTGAAAAAGTTGAAAGAGTGAAGGTTGAAGGAAGGGGGCTAAAATACAATAAGAAATTAGGGTTAGAGGTTTGAATTTTGAAAGAGATAGGAGTTGAAGCATTGAACTTGATGGGCTTGAAGAATTATAAAAGTAATATAAAATTTAATAAATATTATTATTATTAATTTATATATATATAAATAAATAAATAACTAACGGTCCCCCGTCCTYGTCGGGAACCTGATTGGGATCCCGAGTTTGACCACATGGGTACCTGACCTGATCGGGTCGGAGATTCCCCGGTTTGACCCGTCGGGGGATAGGGTCAAATCAGGGAATCCCTGATCCCTACCTATGCATAGCTCAACTAGTTAAAGCTGTTGGATTTTAGCAAAATACACATTAGAAGAGTAAAAKGATGATCTCTAAGTGCTAGAAGTTGTCCCACATCGGAAGGGTAGAATGGCAGGTGTGTTCCAACTAGGAGCTCGTGGGCTTGAGTTTTAATCATCCCAATTGAAATATTTAAGCCTGGTATGTTTTGTGTAATTGGGGTCGAGGGGGGAAATATGTGATTGTAATAATTTTTCAACCGTAGATTTTCCAGTATGGGTCGTGGTTTTTCTCCGATTTGGAGTTTTTCCACGTAAATTCTTGTGTTTTATTTATTTTATTGTTTTATTTAAATTTCTCAGTCATTTTCTACTTATTCCTGCGGTAGAAGTAGGTAATTTTTTCCCATCAAAAGCATGTATCCCGACCAAAAGGTTTTGTCTTCAAATCCGCACATCTACGTGTTTATTTAGCTAGATTGCATAAATTATATAATTATTTGATTATTCTGCACAATAACTTTTCTTCGTGTTAATCACTCTTTGCATTGAATGTTTGATTTCTCGTCCTTCTTGAATTACTTTTAAAATCAAAAAATTGGTAAACAATCTCATTTACTCGCCTAGTGTTGTAATTCGATCCTACCGTTAATTAAAATAATAATAATAATAATACTCTTCAAGTACCACAAGAAATGAAGGGAACACTTTCTAATATTGGTTCAATCTTTCTTTTATACTAGTTTCCTGTCAGATTCTCTTACAATTTTTTATTTTTTTTAATATCATGTATGTCAGTAGATCTTGAAAAAATGTTGCCTATTATTTATTTAATCTTACTTTGAATAAGGACAATCCATAGTTTTTGTTGGAAGCCTTTTATATTTAGATTTGGTTGCTTCCAAAATCTTCTTTCCAAAAGAGATATTACTTTTCCAACTAATTGAATGGTCCAAATTTTGCCCTTTTTGGTCATGAGAGAAAAAGAAGAGAGATTATGCTTTGCTTCTCTCTTTTTAATAAAGAAAAAAAATTATTGTCTCAAGAAAAAGATATTCATTTATTATTTATTCTCCATTATGTTCACTATTGTTCTACTATAGAAAAGTAATAATAAAAAAATAATTCCAATTAATTTATTAATTTGGATGTGCAAATTTGGACTTGGAAGTAAGCGTAGAGATCCATCAAGATCCTTAATCATGTTGCAATTTTTTAAGCAAATTTTARTGTTTAATTTTTCCTATCATATATTTAAGAATATATAAATGGGATGACAGCCACGCAAGATCGGAAAAAGAATAGAGTAGAATATAATTAAATGTTAGTAAATTATTGAATATATTAAAAATTAGAGTAAATGTACTTTACGTCTCAGAATTTGAGAATAGATTTTTATTTGATTCACAAGTTTAAAAACACTCGTCTTTGAAAAATAATTCTAAAAGATTTTTAATATGTTGACGTGGCATCTAACCGATATAACTATATTTATTTATATTGTTTTTAACTCAGGTGACATTGTTTTCGTTTGAAAATTCTAATCAAAGTGATTTTGATGTGTCAAAGCGAACATAGTTCAACGTAATTGACATATGTTTCGAACTAAGAGGGGGTAAGTTCGAATCTCCTTCCCAACATGTTATACTAAAAAAAAGTGACTCCGATATGGTCCACCATCCCAAAGCAGAAGCAAGCAACGGCTGATTCTGATTCTTGGCTTTCTGAAATTATTTTCCCATTTTTAGGTTTATTCTTTCCTTTTTTTTATTTTATTATCTGATATAAGATTTTATGGTTGAGAGTTGGTTTGGTAATTTGAAAAAATTGATGATATGGGGGCATTCTTGATTCTGAGGTTCGTGATTGGTTTTGCTTTGGSCCTGCCAATCAAAATAATTAATGCTTTGAGGTATCAAAAGGACTTGGCTAAACCCCATGCCAATCCCAACAAACAGGTATTTTCTTTTTAATTTGAAAAAAAAAACTACCATTATAAATGTAATTCTAGGTTCTAGATTTTCGTGCTGTGGTGGTATCTAAATAAATTAGTGGTCCGAGGTCATGAGTTTGAAGCACCTCCTACTTGTTATACTAAAAAAACGTGGTGCGAGGTCATGAGTTTGAAGCACCTCCTACTTGTTATACTAAAAAAACGTGGAATGGGAAGGAAGGAGACATTTTGAGTACTTGAGATAGAGGAGAGGAAAAATATGTATTTCCAAAGCAAAAATAAGAATTTATGACGATGTTCACAGATTCTATTAGGCTCTAGYGAATGCACACTTGAATTTGAAGTTGTGTTAACCTTGGAGAGCAACCGACGTACGTACAATTTTTCATTGTTGTGGTTATGTCAAAATTGYTTTCAAGGTAGTGGTTCATCCATAACGCACAACAATCGTTTTCTTCTAATTTCTCAATTGATCCTGACAAAAATGTCAGATACCTTAGGGACATTTTACAACTATTGTGTTTTATTTTTTCCCSGGGACTTACAATCAAATAGAAATTTATCATTAAATTTAAAGATAAAAAGTGTATTTTACCTTAAGAAATTATTTTTAAAAATTTGAAAATGGAGACGCGGGACAAGACTTATTTGAGGGTATAATGATTTCTTTTCTTCTTTTAAGAAATTGAGGGTATAATGATTTCAACCTAACTTTATTGTTTTTAATATTTCTTCCCATTAATATTAATACCTGAGCTTATCATCCACCTTCCTCCTTCATTTTATTTAATTTTTAATTTTATTTCTCTCCTTTTCAAAAAAAAAAAAAAAAGAAATTATTTTTTTTAATAAAAACTTAATTGTAGTGAATGTCCTTGATCTAATGAAAAATTATGTGAGGGACGTGAAATTTTATATTTGAAAGAGATTAAAAATTGTATCTGAACTATGCATCTAATGATTATGGAATAATTTTTTGTTTTATATAGTTAGTTTCAATTTTCTTCATTTTAAAATTTCCAATTATACTCTCAATCTTCTATTTTCACCAACTATTTTAATAAAAAAAATATACATGAGACATTTTTWWTCCTTTTTTTTAAGGAAGATGAAGGGATAGATGCAAACTAGGTTTAAATTTTGTAATCCTTAAACTTTGCAACTTATTTTATTTTAAATTCATAAATTTTGGTTAAATTACAAATCTAGTCCCTATACTTAAAAACGTCTAATACATTCTTAAATTTTCAATTTTGTGTTTAAAAAATTCATAAACGACACAAAATTAAAAGGTTAATATTGTATCACACACAAAATTCAATTTYATATATAATAAATCTATAAATTTAAACAACATGTAGCGTGGAAATTCAATCCTATGCTATGATAAGATCAATTTATAGAACATAAAAATTTACAACAAAACATAAAAGTTAACTTACAAATGAACAATCGAACATCGATMAGATGAAAAGATCATAGGTTCAAACCCGGAACTAAGAAACAAAGGAGAAGACTAAAAAAATTGTGATGTTTTCTTGAGTGGAGATGCGGCAGATGCAGCAGCCGCCGCCCACTGCAGCGTCCATATTCAATGGAAATTAAAAGCAACACAGAAAAAAACGAAAACAAAAATGCGAAAATAAATCCTCTTTCCATCCGTCATTAGATTACCACTTCTTTTTCTCCTTCCGCGCATGGTAAATTTTCCCTCTCCTCTCGCTCTGGATTTCTTTTTTCCTTCTCTAATTCTTCATTTCATTTTCTGCTGATCCTTACTCTGAACTTTGTTCTGTGGTACTTTGTGTTTGATTCGCTATATGCTAAATGAATGGCCGCCCATTTTGAACTGAATAATTTTGCTGACCACGACCCTTTTGATTGCCCTAAATTTTACTTTGAATCTGGAAMTGGAGACGCCTTCTTGTTCCCTTGATTGATCATGCCCATGAGTTTTGAGATCAGGATTTGTAATTGCTTCGATTGCTTTTACAATGTTTGATTTCCTTGTTCTTGTTTCTCTATTTCTCTCGGGAAATGGATGTTGAGAGCGGTTGATTTGCAGTTTCTACTTTTAGGGATTTAATAATGTGTGGCGTGGATTGTTCATAGTTCTTTTTGGGTTTGATTTTGATCTTTGCTATTAACCTCAAGAACAGATGGTGTGTTGCAAAATTCAAGTTCATGTTAATCCCTGTTTGGCTGTGGAGCCTATTTCTTTTGTCTGATCTGAATGTTGCTTTTGTTACAAAATGCAATTGCTTTTTTACAATTATTATAGCTGCCATTCATTGTACTACTTGTAGGCCATGTTTAAGATCCCGGATCATCAAGTTGCTGGCCATCAAGCCAGTAATGGAATGATTGGTCCTCTTATAGATGATTCGGGGCTCTTCTTCAAGCCTCTGCAGAAGGACGACCGGGGATCGAAGGAGGTCGCTTTCTACAAATCATTATTTTCAAACACCAGTGTTCCAGATAACATTCGTGCGTTCTTCCCGGCCTTCCATGGAACTCAGCTTATTCCTGCCTCGGACGGTTCTGGCTTGCATCCCCACCTTGTTTTGCAGGATCTCGTTTCGAGTTATGTCAATCCGTCGATTATGGATATTAAGATTGGTTCCAGGACTTGGTATCCACAAGCTTCTGAGGATTACATCCAGAGGTGCTTTAAAAAGGATAGAGAAACGTCCAGCTTGGCTCTGGGGTTTAGGCTGTCTGGTTTGCAGATTCATGTGAGCCAAAAAGTTGGATACTGGAAGCCAGAGAGGAGATCTCTGCAGAACTTATCGGCCGAGGATGTTAAGTTGATTCTAAAGAAGTACGTTTCTTCAAACGCTCCAGATTCTGATGCCGATGAACCCGATTGCGTTTTTGCATCATCAGTTTATGGTGGTTCAAATGGAGTTTTGGCACAACTATTGGAGCTGAAGACATGGTTTGAAGATCAGACGATTTACCATTTCTATTCTAGCTCAGTGTTGATGGTGTACGATAAGGAAACCACGCTGGAAACTAAGTCGAATGCAGCAATAAAACTCGTTGACTTTGCACACATCGTCGAAAGCGGAGGTGTCATTGATCATAATTTCTTGGGCGGGCTCTGTTCTTTGATCAAGCTTATCTCAGAGATTTTGAGCGATGGACACAACTGCCCGGCCAAAACTTGCCCGCCATGCTCTGATGAGGATTCGAATGGCAACAACCACAGGTGAGCAGAATATTAAGGTTCAAACATATTGTTTATGGAGGAGGATTAAATCAGTCTTCCAATCCTGAATAATAATCCCACATGCTTTATCATATGAAATAAAATTTTCTGACTTATTGGGACTTACTGGATTCAATCTGTTGAGTCATTGATCAGCCCTTTGGCCAAATTGGTTTCTTAAGATTTCTTTGTAATTAATTTCATGTGGGTTCTTTCATTTCTGCAGCCTTGAAAGAGTTGAACCAATACTGGTTGCTTAGTTTGTTTTGTTTTGTTTTGTTTACTGTTGTTTCTGCATTATTTCATACACAGTATTGTTTTAAATCCACAGCAGATCTTGTTGTGCAGATAATAAATTATTGTTGGTTTTTTGCTTTTATTGTTTTGGAATATTGATGGATGTTCTATTTACTTTTTGATGAGCACAATTGGGAATAAATGGTGTACTTCAAGAATATATTCTGTAAGGATGTGATGGAAAATGAAATAGAGAAATAGTACCTGGGATTTGGTTCTTAAGGCCTGAGATTTGGTTCCTTTAAGGGGCCGTTTGGTAATTTCTTATTTTCTGTTCTCATTTTTTATTTTAAAAGCTTTTAGTAACTGTTTTTTTTTTTAAATTGAAAGGAAAAATAAAAACATGGTTAATAATCATTTCTTGTTTTTAGTTCTCTAAATTTTAAACTTAAAATTAAAAAGTAAAGGTTTTATGTAAAAATTAATTTTTCAAATTAAATATTCAAAGTTTTCATATTATTTTTTTTTCTTGATATTGTTTATGCATTTTGCAAGTAAAAAGTGATAAAATAATATTTTTCTCAATAGAAAAATTGAAAATAGAAACTAGAAACAAGAAATTTGATTCTATTATTTTAAAAATTTCTATATGACTTTAAGATAAAGAAGAGAGGGAATAATTATGAAACGTTTATATTTCTTTAAAAATTGAAAATGAGAAACAATTCCAATTTGGTTTCTAATTTTTCACCGTACATAATTGTTGTGTCATGTAAGATTCATTAGCTTGACATCAACAATGCATTTTTTTTTATATATGTAAGTATTTGGGCCAGTTTACACATACCTCAACTAATTTCATGGGACAATCATCTGATCCTACAACATTTGATATCGGAAAACACATGAATTACTAATTATAATATCCTTTACGCCATGTGCCTAGGTGTTAGGTACAACTCCCGCATCTCGCCTTGAATAGGCAAGGCAAAGTCAGGAAGGCGTTCACTTTCCCTTTAGAGCTTCTTTTTTATTATTTAAAAATAATTATAAAAAAACTCTAAAATTGAAAAAATCAGAAGATCGAGTAAAGTAATTAAGCTCACTTTCTCTAAACCAAGTCTCCCTCTCACCCTATTTCTTCCCATATTATATATATTTAGGAATTTTTTATATATAGTGCACCTCGTAAAATGCCTGCAGTTTCTTTTTTTGCATCGTGCTTTAAGTACCAAAGAGTTATTGTGCTTTTATTGCACCTTGATTTAAAAAAACACGAGTGCATCTCTTCTTTTTAAGTACAACATGCGTGTGGGGGTGGGGAATCAAACTCACAACCTCTTAGTTGGAGATATATGTCAATTACCGCTTAGCTATGGTCACTTTGGCTTAATGCATCTGACTTTTTTTTGTAGATGAAAAGTTCATTTATGTAGAAGATATCATTGTAACTAGTAGTTGCATACGAGCATAAATTGATTTGTTAAGGTCCCATTTGAAATGAGTGTGTGTTTAATCAATTTTCTTTTTTCAAATAAGCTTACTTTCTCTCCATTTCTTCGGTATATTACCATTCTTATAAACACACTAAGTTCTAAGTCAATTTCAGACACAAATAACAAGTTTTCAAAAATTACTTTCTTTTTTAGTTTTTGAAATTTGGCTTAATATTTTTAAAAATGTTTTTAAAAAAGTAGACAACAAATCGAAGAGTACACCGTGTTTATAAGGTAAATTTTAAATAAAATGGTTATCAAAAAGTAAAAATCATACATGTTTGATAACTTTAAAAAAAATTTATTTTTCAAAAGTTAGAGAGTGAAAGAGATATCCTAAAGAGAGTGAAATCTATGTAAAGGTAATGAAAGTAAAAGTTCGAATAGATAGAGAGAAATTTGAGAGATAAAAAGAAAAAAAATTAGAGATAGAAAAGTTAGATAATAAGTGATATATAGTGAGAATATTAGTTGAAGAAAGAGATATTTTAGAGAGAAAAAAGTTAGAGATAAAAGAGAATTTCTAGAGAGAAAAGTTTTAAACAAAAATAGGAATTTGAGAGAGAGAGTAAAACTCAACAGAGAGAAAATAAATTAGAAAGAAAAAGAAAAAGTTATATTCAAAAAATTTAAAGAGAAAAAAATCTATACCGATTAAAGTTAGATATATATTTGTGGGAGAAAATAAATTAGAAAGAGAAAGCAAATATAGAGAGTGAAATTTTATAAAGGAAAAGCAAATATCGAGAGCCAAATTTTACAAAGGAAAGTTTGAGAAAAATAATAATTCTAAGAGAGAGAAAAGTGAGAGTGATATTTGAGAAGGGAATGAAAGAATATAAGGATGAAAATTTTAGAGAAAATGTGAAACGAAAGTCTATGAAATGAAAATTTTAGACAAAAATAAAAAAACAAATTTTAGAGAG